CTGCTCCAAAACCGCCATAAAAAAGCCAGACTACGGTTTGCAACTGCACATGGGGACAAAGATCGTACTTTTTGGAGAAATGTCCTCTGGTCTGATGAAACAAAAATAGAACTCTTTGGCCATAATGACCATCGTTATGTTTGGAGGAAAAAGGGGGTGCTTGCAAGCCGAAGAACACCATTCCAACCGTGAAGCACGAGGGTGGCAGCATCATGCTGTGGGGGTGCTTTGCTGCAGGAGGGACTGGTGCACTTCACAAAATAGATGACATCATGAGGAAGGAAAATTATGTGGATATATTGAAGCAACATCTCAAGACATCAGTCAGGAAGTTAAAGCTTGGTCGCAAATGGGTCTTCCAAATGGACAATGACCCCAAGCATACTTCCAAAGTTGTGGCAACATGGCTTAAGGACAACAAAATCAAGGCATTGGAGTGGCCATCACAAAGCCCTGACCTCAATCCTATAGAACATTTGTGGACAGAACTGAAAAAGTGTGTGCAAGCAAGGAGGCCTACAAACCTGACTAAGTTACACCAGCTCTGTCAGGAGGAACGGGCCAAATTCACTCAACTTATTGTGGGAAGCTTGTGGAAGGCTCCCCAAAACGTTTGACCCAAGTTAAACAATTTAAAGGCAATGCTACCAAATACTAATTGAGTGTATATAAACTTCTGACCCACTGGGAATGTGATGAAAAAAACTAAAGCTTAAATAAATAATTATCTCTGTTATTCTGACATTTCACATTCTTAAAATAAAGTGGTGATCCTAACTGACCTAAAACAGGGTAATTTTACTAGGATTAAACGTCAGGAATTGTGAAAAACTGAGTTTAAATGTATTTGGCTAAGGTGTATGTAAACTTCCGACTTCAACTCTACATGTCAACCACTAACTAAAGGCTGCCATCGTTGTATCTTAGTAACTACATAGTCATTGTATGAGTAATTCACAGTACGTTTCTCTTTACATTAAGTTGCTTGTTCCTGCGTAGAAACATTGTATTTACAATAAGTCTTTATAACATTGTAATAACTGACATTTTTATATACCCTGCGAAATATTTTATAATATTGAAAGTAGATAGTAATTACACTTTAAGATCACTGTAACAATTTTTCCTTGATTGAGATGGATTCCCATTGATCACAACTACAAGTACTGTGATGGGTGTGTGCCATTGTTGTAACATAGTAATAACTACATAGTCATTACATGAGTAATTCACAATGTATTTCACTTGACATTAAGTTGCTTGTTCCTGTGTAGAAACATTAATTGCAATACTTGTCTTTTTAACAACATTGTAATAACTGACATTTTTATATACCCTGCAAAATATTTAATATTGAAAGCAAAAAGTAATTAAACTTAAAGATGCTGTAACAACTTTTTTTCCAAGATTGAGATGGATTCCCATTGATCACAACTACAGGTACTGTATTGTGTGCCATCGTTGTAACATAATAACTACATAGTAATTACATTAGTAATTCATGATTTTTCACTTTACATTAAGTTGCTTGTTCCTGTGTAGAAACATTGTAGTTATGATACTTTTCTTTATAACATTGTAATAACTGACATTTTGATATATCCTGTGAAACATGTAATTGCATTGAAAGTACATTGTAATTACACTTACAGGTGCTGTAACAACATTCTACATTGAAGTGTATTTTCCCAACTATTGTAATAAAAAGGTTTACCCTACTGTGTTTTACTTTACTTGAAGCTGCTTGCTCATGAGTCCATTAACATTATACATTATATTATTTTGAACAATATTTGACTTACATTACACCTTTGAAGCCAGATACATAGTATTTACAAAAGCTATACCATTATGTGTTTCACTTTACATTAAGTTGCTTGCTCCTGGGTAGGTACATTATAGTTAAATGCATATCCATTGTAAAAACATTGCTCTTACATTTAATTCAGTACATCCTTTAAGCCAAATAATATGGAAATAAGATAACTGAAACTGTAGTTAATGATAGGATGTGCATTGTTACAACAGCTGATGGAGTCCTAGCCTAGCTTATTTTGGTGGTAGTGACTTATATAGTTACATATAACAAGGTTATATATTAGGATGCATTGTTAACATGGTGCTACACAGGAGACTGCAAAAGTGTAATTACAGAACGTTAGTTACATTTGGAACAAGACATCTTGTAATTACATATACATAAATCATGAGTAAGTACATGTGGAATAACCTCCGACAAGCAGATATGTAATTGCATGTCCTTGTTCCACTTGTGTAATAACCTATACCGCTAAACCCTTATTACAGTGTAATTACATAGTAAGGAAGGAGGTGAGGGCTCTGGGAGTGGGGTGCCAGGAAAATAACCTCTCGCTCAACGTCAACAAAACAAAGGAGATGATCGTATAAGTATAATTAAGTATAATTAAAATGCCTCTCCTGTGAAGTAGTGATGTGCGACATACGTCTAGCTTCTTGAAACGGGTCACAAGAAGAACGATCAGGAAATACATACATTTAAAAAAAAACTTATTTTTAGCACTAAACAGTCTCCATATATACTTCCATTAATTTTTTCAACTGGTACCAGGGGACCTACAGACGAGTCTTGTGTAGCCCAAACTGTTCGGACGCTACAGACAAAAGTTGGCAGATCGTCTGTACCAACTTCAGATGAGTCCCAAGACGCTTGTGTGGGTCTTAGAGCCAAACCGTTCAGATGCTACAGACGATTTTGTGAGAAGACCGTTTTTCGGGATGTCTCATGGTCTGACAAACACTGCTCTAGCTCCGTCCCCTTTCCCCGCAGATGCAGAAGTGTGACATCGGCAGATGCGGTGGATTGAGATGTATCCAATGCAAAAAAACATATATCTAGCTTAAACTGACAGATTTGTATGCTTTTGTATTATTATGCCAATTCGATTTCAGCGGGGGCACGGACATCGACTGTAGTTATTTTTTTAATGCACGGGACGAAGAGATTCTCTGACGTTGCTTGCGCTCAGCATGTGAACAGGTATAAAAGGCGCAGACTAGATGTGCTACACAACTCATTCAGAAAGAAGTCGGACTTGAATAAGCAGGACTGTATTTAGTTCTCCAAAAATATGGTATGTTTATAAAGACATCTCATAAAATAAAGATAGTGTCCACCTGGCTGGCCCACGGATTAGTTTTCCAAATAAAAAGCTGAAAGCATGTTTAAATCATAGGCTACACTTCAGACTGTAGTGCTATTTGTATGTGACTTTTCCAATGCTCTGCTTGCACTCCATCCCCCATGATGAGATAATGGCATGATCTTAATCTAGTTTAGAAGCAATGCAATCCATTATGATCAACAGCTGAAAAAACTATCTTAAACAATACAAATAAATATTCATGAATTAAATGAAATCATGGGCAACAAAGCAAAGGAACCATTGTTAGTTGACCAGTATTATTTATTACACTAGTGTTTTTCAAAATAAATATATAGTAGAATATATTAAAGAAACAAATACAATCTTTAAAGCCTGTAACGAAAAATTCAATAGCGCCGACTTTTAGTAAACATAAGGTGGTACAGTATATACAAAACCACTACTCATAAATGTACAAAATGCAGCAAATAATATCAAGTATTGTGCAGTTTCCCTTGACTTGAACGAGCTTGAGGCAGAGTCAGTCATGGTAGAGCTGCTCTTAGTGCTCACAGGCAGCAGGTTTAGGTCAAGAATGGGGCCAGGACTTTTCCCCGACCACATGACTAGGGAAAACTCCTGGCTCGTGTTATAGGCTGCGAGTAGAGCCAAGAGTTTTTTTTTGTCCTGGTCAGATCACATCGCCAGGAAAAATCCTAAACCTAGTCAGTTACTTCAGATCAGGTTCCAGTGTTTTAGTGAAAAGCAGCAGAAGACCTTGGTGTCTCTCTGGTGGTAAGAGTGATTTTGCATTTGGATCTTCATAAGTACCATTGATTGTGGGCCAGTATTCTACTGTAACATATTGTAGATAGAGTGCAATGCACTGAAACCCAAAGCGTGCTCGTTTGGAACCGAGTAAATACTAATCACCACCTCCCCACTAACAATAACACTGAGGAAATTATGTGCCTCCCTTCTCCTGGGACAAGAGCATTCAGCTTCTAACTAAAATAAACTGTGGTGGAGCTTGTTCCATTGCATGATAAACCTTTTTAAAGCATAATTCAACAAGTAAACACATTCAGAGAGAGACACACAGCCACGCATTCCCAACCCCCCCGCCCCACAAACAAACACACACATCTGCAAAAACACACACAAAAACAAGACTTCACCGTACCAGTCTTTCTCATCATTTTCATACCTAAAAAATGGTTGGTTAAAAGCTTACTTGTGGTAAAATAACTTAAATAATAGCCCATAATGGTATTATTGAATAAATAGCCTTTTTAATAAATAGCCTTTTGAAGGCAGCAGCATTTTGCACGACTAGAACAAACACTTTCAAACGATTTCAACAATGGCTGTGGTTTCTATTATTATAAGTCTGTAGCGTCTGTACTTTCCGTACTGCCTCTATTTGCACTCATTTCAGTAGTCTGTATTTTCAGTATTACTTTGTAGTTTTGTCTTTTCGATCCACTACATAAGGGTAAAGTACTGTATATAAGTGTGTTTAGTGCTAAACTATAGGCTATTCGTCAGTTAGTATAAAACCCAATACTTCAAACATAAAAGTGCCACATGCAGAAAACTGCCTTGAGAAAAAACAAAAACATTCCTAATCCTTAAAAGATTTCATTCAGATTGTTGGAAGGTTTTCATTACAATTCTCACGTCCATCTCCATGGAGACCGCCATTTACACCAATCCAAAGGCTACACCCACACAGCAATAGACCAATCCCCCTTCATCAAAAGGCCAAAACCACAGAAGGGTCAAATGCCAGTCATATCTGAGACTACTGGGTCCTGCCCAATCGTAGAATGACTGCCTATGGTGTGCCTTCTCTTCCTCCTCTTCTTCCCTTCCTCACTTCTTCCTAGAAGATCCGCTGGGCCTCTTGATCTGCCACAGGTGGTTGTGTATGGTCAGGGCATCCACGCTGACTGACACGGTCTTGGCGGGGATGCAGTTGAACTGCTTGCGGTCGGAGCTGTACTTGTAGAGCTTGTCGATCATCTTGCGGCTGATGCTGCGCGGCCCCGTGCCGGTGAACTTGACGATCTCCTCTGTGTCGGGGGAGAAGGAGTAGATGGCTCGGAACTGGCAGCCCCCGTCCCTGAACAGAATCATCAGGTGGTTGGCCTCACACCTCTCCAGCTCCTGGCATTGGAGAGACAGATGGAAGAAACAACCATCAGTAACCACGGAAAAAAGAATTTCAAACTCTATTATACAGTGGGAAACAGAGGAATTTACAGTACCAGTCAAACGTTTGGACACACCAACTCATTCCAGGGTTTTTCTTTTTGTTTACTATATTCTACATTGTAGAATAATAGTGAAGACATCACAACTATGAAATAACACATATGGAATCATGTAGTAACCAAAACAGTGTTTAACAAATCAAAATATATTTTATATTTGAGATTCTTCAAAGTAGCCACCCTTTGCCTTGATGACAGCTTTGCACACTCTTGGCATTCTCTCAACCAGCTTCATGAGGCAGTCACCTGGAATGCATTTCAATTAACAGGTGTGTCTTGTTAAAAGTTAATTTGTGGAATTGCTTTCCTTCTTAATGCGTTTGAGCCAATCAGTTGTGTTGTGACAAGGTAGGGGTGGTATACAGAAGATAGCCCTATTTGGTAAAAGACCAACTCCATATTATGGCAAGAACAGCTCAAATAAGCAAAGAGAAACGACAGTCCATCATTACTTTAAGACATGAAGGTCAGTCAACACGGAAAATGTCAAGCCCAAATAAATGCTTCACAGAGTTCAAGTAACAGATACATCTCAACATCAACTGTTCAGAGGAGACTGTGTGAATCAGGCCTTCATGGTCGAATTGCTGCAAAGAAACCACTACTAAAGGACACCAATAAGAAGAAGAGACTTGCTTGGACCAAGAAACACGAGCAATGGACATTAGACTGGTGGAAATCTGTCCTTTGGTCTGATGAGTCCAAATGTGAGATTTTTGGTTCCAACCGCTGTGTCTTTGTGAGAAGCAGAGTAGGTGAACAGATGATCTCCGCATGTGTGGTTCCCACCATGAAGCATGGAGGAGGAGGTGTGATGGTGCTTTGCTGTTGACACTGTCTGTGTTGGGGAATACACGTATTTGCCTGATTTGCCTGATTTGTTTAATATTAATAGTTAACAATTAATATGCTTAACAATAGTTGAGACATTTATTTGGTGCAAATACTGTGCTTCTGAGAAAGGATGGTTCCCTCTAGCTCCCTGCAGCTGGTCTGGGCGTGTAGTCAAGGACATGGGATGGTGATAAACTTCAGGAACAGATAGACCTGTGTAGACCTGTATTGTTTCTTATTGCTTCAGAGTAACCCGGTCACACGGTTAAAACAAAGAGCCTTAGAGTGACCACAGTTTTTCAGTTCATCCTGTCTTTTACTATCTTCCAAGGGCACAGCTGTGTGGAGATATGGGCAGTGATGGAGCTAACGTTATCACTTGTTTGTGCGCTATGACTTGATACACATAGCCACAGGAAGAGAACAAGATGGCTCCTGATCTGCCCGGGGGAGTACTTGTATAAAAGGCAGAGTTTGTTTCAGACACTTTTGTAGAACTTATGAGGAGCCATCCAAATCCTGTGTGACTCTGTATTAACTTCTACCTGCAATTGCATAACTACAGGTATTTTATATATACACTCAGAAGTCGTTGTCTGTGTCATTTTCTAAAGCTTAGGGTTTGTTTAAGAATAAGAGAATATCAGCACTGTGCAAAGAATCCTCTACACAAGGCACACTTAACCAGCATGGCTACCACAGCATTCTGCAGCGACACGCCATCCAATCTGGTTTGCGCTTAGTGGGACTATCATTTGTTTTTCAACAGGACGATGACCCAAAAAACACCTCCAGGCTGTGTAAGGGCTATTTGACCAAGAAGGAGAGTGATGGAGTGCTGCATCAGATGAAGTGGCCTCCACAATCCACCGACCTCAACCCAATTGAGATGGTTTGGGATGAGTTGGACCGCAGAGTGAAGGAAAAGCAGCCAACAAGTGCTCAGCATATGTGGGCACTCCTTCAAGACTGTTGGAAAAGCATTCCTCATGAAGCTGGTTGAGAGAATGCCAAGAGTGTGCAAAGCTTTCATTTGATTTGTTTAACACTTTTTTGGTTACTAGATGAATCCATATGTGTTATTTCATAGTTTTGATGTCTTCAATATTATTCGACAATGTAGAAAATAGTACAAATAAAGAAAAACCCTTGAATGAGTAGGTGTCCAAACTTTTGACCGGTACTGTATAACCAAACAGGATAACCAAGGTAGCTATATAAACATTGAGAAATAACTAGTCTATTTATTTTCTGGTTAATACTTGAACAAATTGGTTGTTGAATCTATATACCATGTCAATTTCAAGCTGATCTTTCTAAAATATTTTTTTCTCAGAACATTTAGGCCAAACATTCCAATGTTTTTACTGACCCAGATTGTTTTCTCTTTGCTGTATATAACTTATTGACACTAGTAATGAGGAAAATTAATTGGCTATAGCAAAATCATAGACGCCTTCTAGAACTACGATACTATTGATACACCTCAAATAATTTTCACAGGTAATGAGGAAAATTCATTTGCTATACTGAAATTGCAGAGGCCTTCTACACTGAACAAAAATATAAATGCAACATGCAACAATTTCAAAGATTTTACTGAGTTACAGTTCATATAAGGAAATCATTAAATTGAAATAAATTCATTAGGCCCTAATCTATGGATTTCACATGACTGGGAATACAGATATGCATCTGTTTATCACAGATACCTTAAAATAAATGGGCCTCACAATGGGCCTCAGGATCTCGTCATGATATTTCTGTGCATTCAAATTGCCATCAATAAAATGCAATTGTGTTTGTTGTCCGTAACTTATGCCTGCCCATATCATAACCCCACCGCCACCATGGGGCACTCTGTTCACAAAGTTGACATCAGCAAACCGCTCGCCCACACAACGCCATCTGCCCAGTACAGTTGAAACCGGGATTCATCCGTGAAGAGCACACTTCTCCAGCGTGCAAGTGGCCATCTAAGGTGAGCATTTGCCCACTGAAGTCGGTTATGATGCCGAACTGCAGTCAGGTCAAGACCCTGGTGAGGACGACGAGCATACAGATGAGCTTCCCTGAGACGGTTTCTGCCAGTTTGTGCAGAATGACCAAAAATATGTGGACACCTGCTCGTCAAACATCTCATTCCAAAATCATGGGCATTAATATGGAGTTGGTCCCCCCTTTGCTGCTACAACAGCCTCCACTCTTCTTGGAAGGCTTTCCACTAGATGTTGGAACATTGCTGTGGGGACTTGCTTCCATTCAGCCACAAGAGCATTAGTGAGGTCGGGCACTGATGTTGGCCGATTATCCTGGCTCGCAGCCGGCGTTCCAATTCATCCCAAAGGTGTTCGATGGGGTTGAGGTCAGGGCTCTGTGCAGGCCAGTCAAGTTCTTCCACACTGATCTCGACAAACCATTTCTGTATGGACCTCGCTTTGTGCACGGGGACATTGTCATGCTGAAACAGGAAAGGGCCTTCCCCAAACTGTTGCCACACAGTTGGAAGCACAGAATCATCTAGAATGTCACTGTATGCTGTAGTGTTAAGATTTCCCTTCACTGGAACTAAGGGGCCAAGCCCGAACCATGAAAAACAGCCCCAGACCATTATTCGTCCTCCATCAAACTTTACAGTGGGCACTATGCATTCTGACAGTTTGTGCAGAAATTCTTCAGTTGTGCAAACCCACAGTTTCATCAGCTGTCCGGGTGGCTGGTCCCAGACAATTCCGCAGGTGAAGAAGCCGGATGTGGAGGTCCTGGGCTGGCGTGGTTACACGTGGTCTGCGGTTGTGAGGCCGGTTGGACGTACTGCCAAATTCTCTAAAACCATGTTGGAGGCGGATTATGGTCGAGAAATTAACATTAAATTATCTGGCAACAGCTCTAGTGGACATTCCAACAGTCAGCATGCCAATTGCACCCTCCCTCAAAACTTGAAAAATCTGTGGCATTGTATTGTGTGACAAAACTGCACATTGTAGAGTGGCCTTTTATTGTCCCCAGCACAAGGCGCACCTGTGTAATGATCATGCTGTTTAATCAGCTTCTTGAGATGCCACACCTGTCAGGTGGATGGATTATCTTGGCAAAGGAGAAATGCTCACGAACAGGGATGTAAACAAATGTGTGATTTTTTTGTTTGTTGAGAAATACACTTTTTGTGCATATGAAACATTTCTGGGATATTTTATTTCAGCTCATGAAACATGTGACCAACACTTTACATATTACGTTTACATTTTTGTTCAGTATAGAACTACAACACTATGGACTCACCTCAAATTATTTTCACTGGTAATGAGGAAAAATCATTGGCTATAGTAAAATCACGGAGGCCTTCTAGTACTGCCATACTATGGATGGACTGACCTCTAGGATGGTGTTTTTCTGGGCTTCGTTGACCTTGCCAGCCAGGCAGCAGTGGGTGATGGCATTGTGGATTATAGGCTTGTTGGACTTGGAAACACACTCCTTAAACAGCTTGGGACCTGCAACGAGGACAGAAACCGTAATGCTCACCATTGTACTCTGAGTGTGTGTGTGTAATACTCACCATTAGGGATGTGAAAAATGAAACATTTTGCTTAACGTTTAAACAGCCATTTTCCGTTAAAGCGATAACAAAAAATCATAAGTTCCACGTCAATTCACAATGCACAATAATGGTCCTATTACGTATGTATGACCGCTACGGCTGGGCAATGAAGTTATATCTACCACAGTCATATACCCTTGAAAGCGCCTCGGCTACAGCATGTTCGTTTGTCTGTAAGCGTACACTACGGCTTTTTAATAAATGCCGACACAAAACCTTCTCTGGAGAAAGTTTCTAAGCGCCACTGAACGAGCATTTGACTTGTCTGTAAAGGAATGCCGCTTCTAAAGCTGGACTAATCACTAGAACAAGAACAGTCAATCAAATAATCTTGAGCTGCCTGCGCACAGCCTACTTGCCTACTGCGCGCAGACCCCTCTCTCCTGAAAAAGTACTTTAAAGTTGGTTAAATACCGTGATTTACCAAGACATTTAGTAGAAAGAAAACTAATTCCGTTAGGAATCAACTCCTAAAATACTATTTTGTATGCTATGTTGATCTGGCTGTGTCAAAACTACAGTCAGATTTTATAGCTATGCTGATTTAAAACGTGTGCTTAATACGGGCAAAACGAAATGTTGTTTTTAAACTCTTGCAAGAATGTTTCAGATTAACTACATTAGATGGTTCTCCAATCAAATGTATACCCGCATATAAATACTTAGGCATTTGGATCGATATGGATTTGATGTTTAAAAAACATAGATGAGCTAAGATTTAAAGTTGGCTTTTTCTACAGAAACAGATCGTGCCTTTCTCTAACCAGTAGGAAACAGATTATTCAGTCAACCTTTTTATCTGTTCTTGATTATTGTGAAATTATTCATCAGCTGCTACTACTCTTAAATCTTTGGATGCCATCTACCATAGTGGCCTTCGTTTTGATACAGGCGACAGTTTTGATACTAATCACTGCATCTTGTATCAAAAGGTTGGCTGGACTTCGCTAAAGACCCATAGATCTCTACATTACTCCTTTTTGTTTACAAGGCCCTACTTCACATAAACTTCTGTATTATCTAACTTTGCTGTTGAAGTATAGACACCTGAGTTGCCTAACCCGTTCACCGGATTGGTTAACTCTTGAGGTTCCTACGGTCTTCACAGAGCTAGGTAAATCTGCTTTTAGTTTTAATGCACCATATAGCTGGAACAAAATTCAAAACACATTTAATCTTGATGTTCTGGTGCCGTTCAGGAAATGTAAAGTATTGATTGGGGACTTATTTGTGTAGGAATATAACTGATTTTCTGGGTGATTTGTGATGTTTTATTTGTGCTTACCATGACTGTGTTTTTGTATTTTAATGTGTGTGTGTGTGTGTGTGTGTGTATATGTATGTATCTATGTACAGTGAGGGAAAAAAGTATTTGATCCCCTGCTGATTTTGTACGTTTGCCCACTGACAAAGAAATGATCAGTCTATCATTTTAATGGTAGGTTTATTTGAACATTGAGAGACAGATTCCAGAAAGACCCATGTCAAAAATGTTATAAATTGATTTGCATTTTAATGAGGGAAATAAGTATTTGACCCCCACTCAATCAGAAAGATTTCTGTCTCCCAGGTGTCTTTTATACAGGTAACAAGCTGAGATTAGGAGCACACTCTTAAAGGGAGTGCTCCTAATCTCAGCTTGTTACCTATATAAAAGACACCTGTCCACAGAAGCAATCAATCAATCAGATTCCAAACTCTCCACCATGGCCAAGACCAAAGAGCTCTCCAAGGATCTCAGGGACAAGATTGTAGACCTACACAAGGCTGGAATGGGCTACAAGACCATCGCCAAGCAGCTTGGTGAGAAGGTGACAACAGTTGGTGCGATATTCGCAAATGGAAGAAACACAAAATAACTGTCAATCTCCCTCGGCCTGGGGCTCCATGCAAGATCTCACCTCGTGAAGTTACAATGATCATGAGAACGGTGAGGAATCAGCCCAGAACTACACGGGAGGATCTTGTCAATGATCTCAAGGCAGCTGGGCCCATAGTCCCCAAGAAAACAATTGGTAACACACTACGCCGTGAAGGACTGAAATCCTGCAGCGCCCGCAAGGTCCCCCTGCTCAAGAAAGCACATATACATGCCAGTCTGAAGTTTGCCAATTAACATCTGAATGATTCAGAGGAGAACTGGGTGAAAGTGTTGTGGTCAGATGAGACCAAAATCGAGCTCTTAGGAATCAAGTCAACTCGCCGTGTTTGGAGGAGGAGGAATGCTGCCTATGACCCCAAGAACACCATCCCCACCGTCAAACATGGAGGTGGAAACATTATGCTTTGGGGGTGTTTTTCTGCTAAGGGGACAGGACAACTTCACCGCATCAAAGGGACGATGGACGGGGCCATGTACCGTCAAATCTTGGGTGAGAACCTCCTTCCCTCAGCCAGGGCATTGAAAATGGGTCGTGGATGGATATTCCAGCATGACAATGACCCAAAACACATGGCCAAGGCAACAAAGGAGTGGCTCAAGAAGCACATTAAGGTCCTGGAGTGGCCTAGCCAGTCTCCAGACCTTAATCCCATACAAAATATGTGGAGGGAGCTGAAGGTTCGAGTTGCCAAACGTCAGCCTCGAAACCTTAATGACTTGGAGAAGATCTGCAAAGAGGAGTGGGACAAAATCCCTCCTGAGATGTGTGCAAACCTGGTGGCCAACTACAAGAAACGTCTGACCTCTGTGATTGCCAACAAGGGTTTTGCCACCAAGTACTAAGTCATGTTTTTCAGAGGGGTCAAATACTTATTTCCCTCATTAAAATGCAAATCAATTGATAATATTTTTGACATACGTTTTTCAGGATTTTTTTGTTGTTATTCTGTCTCTCACTGTTCAAATAAACCTACCATTAAAATTATAGACTGATCATGTCTTTGTCAGTGGGCAAACGTACAAAATCAGCAGGGGATCAAATACTTTTTTCCCTCACTGTATGTTTTATTTCATAGTTTTGATGTTTTCACTATTATTCTACAATGTAGAAAATGGTTAAAATAAAGTAAAACCCTGGAATGAGTAGGTGTCCAAACTTTTGACTGGTACTGTATATAGATAGTGTATAATGTGTATATTTATATTGTAATATACAGGGCGCATTTGGAAAAGAGACCTAAGTCTCAATAGGTATCCCCTGTTAAAATAAAGGTAAAAAAAAAAAAGATTCAGTCTTTTTTGAACGGAGGAGACTGATTAGTTGCCTAACTTCCGAGAACACAAACACTTGCATCTTCCATGGCGAGCTAGGGAGGGACAGACAGAGAGAGAGGGGAGGGCCACAGTATGGGCATGTTGGCCACCAGGCAGAGACAGTCAGAACTGTGCACTAGGCCTATCTATCAGCAATCAAAAGCTGTATCTTGCAATGGAATGCTGTATTTCGCAATTTCTTGGCTTGCATTGTCTCGGAACTTCAGTATAGCAGGGCCTATCATCAATGAATAGGCTAGAATATTCCACAGGCAACAGACTGAAGACACACTCGCATCATTAGTGAAGAGAAAGAGAAGGTGAGCCCAGCAACAATGTGATTAAATGTTTTCGATATATATGTATATATATTTTTCTTATCGTTAGGATCCCAATTTCGTTTAAAAACATGTAAACGCCTACTCACCATTGTACTCAGGTGTGTGTGTGGGTGCATGTGTAATACTCACCATTGTACTCTGCTGTAGATGTGATGGAGGAGGCTGTAGAGCCGTTCTCCCAGTCTCTCTCCATGTTCCTAATGGAGTTCCTGTTTAGCAGAGGGAACGACTCCACCGACCCACCCCTGGAACACCCACCCCTGGAACACACACACACACACATAGTTAACAGGGTTTCTCTGTCTCAAACACATACTCACAGAAACAAACACACGCACCCAACCCTGCACGTACGAGCGTGCGCGCGCGCACACACACACACACACACCTCTGTGGCTCGGCCCCTCCAGAAGTGACACTCTCTGTCTCGGTGGCCAAGGAGAGAGTGGAGCCTGACTGGAAACAGCTGAGAATGTCCGCTGGAAGTCAACAAGACAAGAGTTAATCAATAACATAGAACAATAAGTCGCTTTGGATAAAAATGTCTGCTTCATGGCATATATTATTATTATTGTAAATACAGTGTATGTCTGTGTGCACCAAATAAAAACAGATACTGAACAGTCATTTCACTGGTATTCATTAACCATCAACATGTAAGCAGCATATGACGATAACCTTTATTAGGGATGGGCATTTGAAAGAATGTCTGTGTTCGAGTACTCTCATAAAACAAAAATTGAGTACTGAAGTACTCGCATGTTAATATGAAACGGGTCTAAAGGCAAAATATTTTGCGGTATGCTAGTCGTTCCAATTACTGTTTGTTCTGATATACAACTGAAAACAAAACTGAACATATTTTCACTGCACTTGACATACTTCAAACAATCAAAACATCTTCTGAAATGTTGTTAGTGGTTATAAATGTAATCTGCTGCCTCCCGAGTGTAGCAGCGGTCTAAGGCACTGCATCGCAGTGCTAGAGGCGTCACTACAGATCCGGGAAAAAAAGGGGTAAAAAGTACAAATAAATAAATGTAATCTGCTAAATAGTAGCATTTGTGTGTATTTAATTATTAGTAAATGAATACAAACCTTTCCCAACTCTTGACCATCACTCACACCCTCACCCCAAATGGTTGGGTGATGTCAACCTGTCCTATTGTGATTATGTACACATAAAACATCATAATATATGATGCTATCGCTCCTATTGGCCACCCTCCCCGACCAAAAATTGTAAAACGTCAGTTGGGCTATAGCGCGGAATCGAATGCAACTGGACAAATCATGACGAAAGATAATGTTGTTGAAAACTTGGGCAGAGGCTAAGTGCAGGCAATGGCAAATCTTTTATAATATTCCTTTCTGGTGGAGAAGTGTGTGTCTGTGATGGAGCAGTGACTGTCTGATGAGGAACAGGCTGCCTTACCATAGTGAGCTCGGTTATAGACCTACATCATGGGCTGGATAGAAGCAGTGTTCAGAACTGGAAAATAATTGCTTTATCTGAGATTGAGAATAGCCTATGCCTAGGCTTAGGCTATAGACTTTCATTCTTGTTATTTTTTAAAAAGCCACAACAACTTTAGGACAACACCTTTGTAGGCTAGAATATTTGGGAAATAAGCTGCTGTTCATAACTTTAACTTGTCTTAAAGCTTTTATGATAGGCTTTGTCGGACAATTTGGCCATTTGGTTCTTAACCTCGCATTGAGGGATTTTCCTGACCCGCATGGATAATTTATTTCTTAATAAGCTTTAACTTGACTAAGCTTGTCATTAGATTTTTCTGTAGGCTATTGATATTGCTTGTTCACTCATTATTAGTCCTCTGGCTGCCTTACGTTTTTAGGCTATTCAAATAACGTTTTGAGATGGAAAAACTGGTTTAGGCAGAGAGAGTAAAACAATATTTTCTGACTAGACATGTTGTGCTGCTTTGGTGGAATTCTCCGCTCTGTCTGCCTTACATTTCTCTCTTGCGTTCTGTAGGCTATAAAACACATTTATTGAAATAGGCTATAGCAAATAGCAATAGGCAAATTACTTGTTATGTCCCTTGGTTGCTGCCCTGCTGTGCGCTGCACTACTTTCTTTTACTGCGCGCCGCCAGTCAAGTTCCAATAGGCTAAACCATCTTCTCTCACATCTCGATGTCGTCAACTTGGACGATGGCTGTCAATCATCACCGATAGACGATGCTACTGTAATATCGCACAACCCTAACCCGTGCTTACACAAGCCAAGAAGGCACAATGCAGCAGGCACAGTGTGATGTCACATTGGCAGTGGACTGATATGCAAACTTTTTTACATTTTTTATTGCAAACTCAGGCATTGCTCTCTGCTTGATTGGCCAGGCACAATCAGGTTCTTACCCTCATGGCATGCCGCGAGAGAGAGAGAGAGAGAGAGAGAGAGAGAGATGGAGAGAAAATTCCCCTGATCCTATAAGAGTGCAAAGTGAGCCAATCACATTACACAAATCTATGCAATTCTCTCACATCTGCTTAGGGGGAAAGGGGCTAGTGGTCCATTTGATCAGACTTTCTGAAGGGGTTGTGGGTTGAGGCTGGAATATTTTCCTGACATGACCTGACCAGGAAAAACTCCTAGCCCTATGAGGTATGGCATGATGTTATGAGGTCAGGGGGTCATGCAGATGAGGTTAGATGTATCACCTCCCCTACTGCCTGCTGCTGAACCCTGGGCTCTCATCAACATGGACGCTCTCAGAGAATAACCTGGGTGACAAAAAAACACACGCGAGGGCTAAACAGACAATACACACACAGGAAAGCTAAACAAAGAATACAAACATGGGAGAGCTAAACAAAGAATACACACACACAACACAAGACATTGTGGTATTCATGGGTTGCACCTACGTCACTCGGTCGAGTCATGCCATTGTTATGAACGTTCTCAAGACGTTCTCAGCAATAGTGACTCCCGAAGGTCAAGTGGTGCCCAATCATTCTCAACGGGGGCTAATGATTGTTTAGTGTCTAAATTACATTGTAGTGGCTTGGAAATACAATGACATTGCTAAAGTAGGCAAATAATTAGTACGAAACAACTTTGTCATCGTTATGATGTCGTCAAATTTACTTTAGACTGACGGCAATGTTGCCATTAGCTAGAAAAGTGAGTCAAAAATACCTAGCAGTTAGCTAGCTAAAATCTGGTGCTCTTCCCGCAATCTTAGGTAGCATCTAAAGTCAATCTGACGACATCACAATGACAAAGGCATTTCCTACTGGCCGATTCCACAACAGGACATATTTTGGAAATCTCAGATTGTTCTGGCAATTCTCACATATAAACTTAATTGGGAGAAAGTCCTTTTGACATGCTTTTTACATTTGTATCACAAACAATGAGAAAATCATGATGATTTGTAAAAAAAATTATAATAATAATAATAATAACATTTACATAACTATTCAGACCCTTTACTCAGTACTTTGTTGAAGCACCTTTACAGCGATTAAAACCTCAAGTCTTCTTGGGTATGACGCTACAAGCTTGGCACACCTGTATTTGGGGAGTTTCTCCCATTCTTCTCTGCAGATCCTCTCAAGCTCTGTCAGGTTGGATGGGGAGCGTCGCTGCACAACTATTTTCAGGTCTCTCCAGAGATGCTAGATCGGGTTCAAGTCCGGGCTCTGGCTGGGCCACTCAAGGACATTCAGAGACTTGTCCCGAAGCCACTCCTGCGTTGTCTTGGCTGTGTGCTTAGGGTCGTTGTCCTGTTGGAAGGTGAACCTTCGCCCCCAGTCGGAGGTCCTGAGTGCTCTGGAGCAGGTTTTCATCAAGGATCTCTCTGTACTTTAGTTGCCTTTTGGCAAACTTCAAGCGGACTGTCATGTGCCTGTTACTGAGGAGTGGATTCCGTCTAGCCACTCTACCATAAAGGCCTGACTGGTGGAGTGCTGCAGAGATGGTTGTCCTTCTGGAAGGTTCTCCCATCTCCACAGAGGAACTCTGGACCTCTGTCAGAGTGACCATCGGGTTCTTAGTCACCTCCCTGACCAAGGCCCTTCTCTCCCGATTGCTCAGTTTGGCCGGGCGGCCAGCTCTAGGAAGAGTCTTGATGGTTCCAAACCTCTTCCATTTAAGAATGATGGAGGCCACTGTGTTCTTTGGGACCTTCAATGCTACAGAAATGTTTTATCCCTTCCCCAGATCTGTGCCTCGACACAATCCTGTCTAGGAGCTCTATGGACAATTCCTTAGAACTCATGTCTTGGTTTTTGCTCTGACATGCACTCTCAACTGTGGGACCTTATATAGACAGGTGTGTGCCTTTCCAAATCATGTCCAATCAATTGAATTTATCACAGGTGGACTCCAATCACGTTGTAGAAACATCTAAAGGATGATCAATGGAAACAGGATGCTCCAGAGCTCAATTTTGAGTCTCATAGCCAAGGGTCTGAATACTTATGTAAATAAGGTATCTGTTTTTTGCAAACATTTCTAAAAACCTGTTTTCACTTTGCCATTATGGGGTATTGTGTGTAGATTGATTAGTATTTTTATTTATTTAACCCATTTGAATAAGTCTGTAAGGTAACAAAATGTGGAAAAAGTGAAGGGGTCTGAACACTGTATTTAGGCTTACCATAACAAAAGGGTTATTGACTCAAGACATTTTAGCTTTCCATTTTTACTTAATTTGTAAATATTTCTAAAAACATAATTCCACTTTGACATTATGGGGTATTGTGTGTAGATAAGTGACAAAATCTCAATTTAATCAATTTTAAATTCAGGCTGTAACAGAACAAAATGTGGAAAAAGTCAAGGGGTGTAAATACTTTCTGAAGGCACGGTATATCAAGAGGACAGATCAAGAACTGATTAATTAACATAGGCCTACTAATCTTTAATAGTCTAACATAACTTTCTGTGAAGGACGGTATTAGCAGAACAGCTTTCTCTGCCATGTCTGTTTCCATCCACGCAGCGAAGTGCACTGAACTACCGCAACACTGCACATTTCCTTTTGCTTGTCAATGCGCTCCCGCCTTTACCTGGCTACCCAGACTGCTTGATCCGGCCAAACGCTACGCCACGCCCACGGATGTTAGTTTCTTGTAGTGAATGACAGAGCTGCGGAATAATTTAGTGTGAGTCGTCAGGCTACTCGCGCCTACTACTACCGTTGCGGAGATCAAAGCATGTGTGGACAAGAAAGTGTTCCCGCTTAGTTTACCAAACGCTGTACTAACTACCTTCGTCGTAATGACGCTTTAGCTAAGGAGCTAACTACGAAATAAAATTGGGGATGTGCATGACTAACACATACAATTTTGGAAAGTATATTTGGCAAACAGTTCTCCATTTTCCTTACCCTTTTCCTCACACATCAAATGGAATCAACAGACAAAGTGCAAAGTGGAGAGCTGCCATCCAGCTCGAGGGATAAAAATAGCACTACGAAATACTACTCGTCCAAGTCCTCTGATTGGCTCAGCTCCAACTTGAATAAAAAATGAAAAGCTAAAATGTCTTGAGTCAATAAGTATTCAACCCCTTGACTTTTTCCACATTTTGGTGTGGTACAGCGGTCCGCACCGTCCTCTGTAGCGCTTTGCGGTCAAGGGAGGTGCATTTGCAATACCAAGCGGTAATGCAGCCAGTCAAGATGCTCTTGATGGTGCAGCTGTAGAACTTTCTGAGGATCTGAGGGCCCATGCTAAATATTTTCAGCTTCCTGAGGGGGAAGAGGTGCTGAGATACTCCAAATATTTTCGAGCTGTCCTGGCGTGACATCGCCCTACGAATTATTTGCCAGCTTTAGTAATGTCATTGTGTTTCCAAGCCACTATAATGTGAAATCTTAATCAGCAGCAATTCAAAATGCATTGAGTAGAACATTCAGTCGGGTACCAGTCCTCAAGAGAACATCAATAACAATGGGGTGACGCTATATGCAACAATGAATAGGGTGAGACAGGGTTAGTAGAGACTAGAGGGAGGATGAGATTGGTTAAATTAACAACCTCCCCACACACACTTCTTTAGGGGGAGGTTCAAATCTGTAAAGGGGAGATAGGGTTGGTTTGGGTTATAGTGTTTTAGTGTAGGCCTTACGTGTGGAGGATCCTTTGGAGAAGCCAGTGTCGGAGCTGGACTCTCCACGATGCAGGGACTTAGGCCGGGCCTTCCTGGCTTCACTCCTGGGCCTGGGCTTAACCAAACCCTGCTCCTCTATCAGCTCCTGCTGCTTCCTCCTCAGGTACTCCTGCTTGATCAGCTCCCTCCGCACCTTCTCCTCCTCCTTCCTCACCCGGTCCTCTTCTGCCTTACGCCTGGGGGGAAAGAGACACACACAGCTGCTTTAGGTTTGCCTTCACAAATAACACACACACACTTGCTTTATCCCTGCACATTGACAACATACACACACGCCATGATGGAGTATGTTCTGTACCAGCCACTGATGTGTTTGTATAATAGAGATACTAGAGAGCTCTTCATTGAGGGTGTTCACCATTTTGTAGTAGTCAAGTGGGTGGGACTTGCTATGGGTTAAGGAAGGATCACATAATTCCATCCAGGTCAGCAGTAGGGGTCAGCCAATTAATTGTACACCTAAGCAAACATTCCTTAACTGCAGTTGGCAGTAATTCACCAACCTTGGCTGTTCAGACTATACACACTCCATTACAGTAGGTGGTAGTACTACTACACACTTTATTTACAAAATATTTCAGAAATTGACTACTTGCTCTCCCCATGCTATTAAAGAGGTGGTCATTGGGAACAGCTCACTAGTACATCTCTATGGTTTGTACCTGGCTTCGTCTCGTTTCTGTTCGCTCTCAGCCTCCGTCTGCAGTTTGCGGAGCCGTGCCTCCTCCATCTTCCGCTGCTGTTTGAGGAGAAAGTGAGCGCGACGCTTTGCCATCTCATCCTCTGCCATCATCTCATCGTCCTTGGGGGGGGGGGGGGGGGAGTAATTGATTTACTACCAGAACAACATCCATTTCATTGCTAAGGCACATGACAAAATCTGCATTGATCTGAAAACTCTGGATAGGTTAAAGCAATATGGTGGATGATGCCTCTTTGGGAATTTCAGTTCCCCTGTCCGGTGCTTTCATCAACTCAATTCAACACAAATTAGTTGGGTTAATTGCATGATTTTCTGTAATTAATTTAGATTAATCGCAATTTGCTAAGGGTTAAAGGCCCAGTGCAGCCAAAAACGTGATATTCCTGTGTTTTATATACACAGTGTACAAAACATTAAGAACATCTTCCTAATATTGAGTTGGACCCAATGTTCCCTCAAATGTATTTCCGGCACTGAGCAAATTTCAGGTCTGCTGAGCGCAAACTTGAACATCGTGAAAATTCTGTACAACTTCCGGCGCACGTTTACTGTAAAAACTGTGTCTGTACCCAAGTCGGATACTGTGGCTATTTGATCATAACGTAGGCCTACCAGTGTGGCCTATCATCAAAAACAATAGAGAAAATGCATCATATAATATTTTAACATGGAAATATCTGTTCTATCAGACAGCCTACAGTAGCAGCCAATGTGTGGTGTTCAATGTAGGCCTACATTCCATGAGATAAAAAAAACAAAAAACATGCAGGGCTTGACATTACTCTGTTTATCCACTTGTCCTTAAGAGAAGGAGGTGACTGAAAATGTTGTTGTTTGATGCAAGAAACCACTTTACAAAATAAAATTCATTATTATTCCCATATCCTTATTACAGAGAATCAGACAGATTATGCTACCCTCTGCCTATTGGCTACTATCTTATTGAAGACAGTCTCAAATTACAACACTGTCCCTTTAAGACATAAAACAAGCTCGTCACCTGACTTGCTTTTCAAAGATGGCTAGAAATGCAAATAAATGTTGCTCTCGTAGGAAGCAACCACTCCCCCATTGTTGACTGGGCTAATAACTCACTAACTAGCAAATAATATGAACACGTGCAGGGTGGCTACATGCAGCTCTCGCTTTGATCTCAAAACAAGTGCATCTAGTCAAGACCGCTCATGCGGTCCAGTTCAAAGTGAATGGCACTGATTGGTTATGGCGCACCGGTCTTTGTAAAGTACGGGCCTGAGTTGTGCATGTCAATGCAATAGCATCCTACTCCAATGTGAGCTGCCTATAAGAAAATGTATTGCACAGTTAGTTTTGCATACCAAGTCTTGCAAAGTTCATTTTGTTTTGGTATGTTTCATTGAAAGTGATTAATATTGCGTTGATTCAAGCACAATTCCCATAGCAGAGCGAAACGTTGATAGTGTTAACTAAAGGGAAAAACTCTAGAAAGTTCAGTGAAGTTCAATCTCGTGCTTCTCGGCGCGGGCTGATATTTAATCTGTGGCAGTCCGAGGGCAGCGGCCCACCTGGGCACGCGCGCAGCTTAAAGGGAACATTGGTTGAACCCCCCACTTTGCCCTTAAAACAGCCTCAATTCGTCAGGGCATGGACTCCACAAGGTGTCCAAGCATTCCACAGGGATGCTGGCCCATGTTGACTCCAATGCGTCCCACAGTTGTGTCAATTTGGCTGGATGTCCTTTGAGTGGTGGACCATTCTTGATACACACAGGAAACTGTTGAGTGTGAAATACCCAGCAGCGATTTAACAATAAGGGATCATAGCCTTCACCTGGTCAGTCTATGTCATGGAAAGAGCGGGTGTTCATAATGTTTGGTACACTCAGTGCATATTTCCACACTTTGAGGTTGGAATAATACTGTGAAATTATGATAATGCCCTTTTAGTGTAAGAGCTGTTTGAAAAGACCACCTGAAATTTCTGCCTGTTTTGGTGGAATGGAGTTTTGGCCTTCCATGGTGACATCCCCATGTGGTAAATTAGACCACTCCCAGACAGTCCTAGCTAAATTCTTGCTTGAGAAGCTATTTTTATTTCATTTGGACCATTTTAATTGAAAACAATCACACTAAGGTACTTAATTGTTACCCAGAAAGTATTTGATATCGAGATAAAAACGTCCGCATTGGACCTTTAAGGGTTTTTCACCAACCCTTTACCAAATTCAAAAAATCTAATACAATTGTAAAAGTTAACTGTCATGAACACGTTAACTTTGACAGCCTTAATACAAATGTATTGTCCCTCAAGGGGAAATTCATTACTTCAGACGAGTAGAGATAGCGATTTCAGACTATTGAGATGCAGCCACCCTTAGTAAAATTCCTACCTTGAAGAAGAAACCCAGTCCCGACTTCTGTTCTCCGTCTGCCGAGGTGTCCCCTATATCAGAGCCTCCTTCCTCCGATGGTTCCTTCAGGTCGGACAGGTCTACCTCGATCAGCTGGCCCTTCCCTCGACCTACCTCCTCGCCGGGCTCATTCTCCTTCCCCGAGCCGCTACGCTCCCGCCCCTCCAGCCCCTCAGCCACGTCCACACAGTGGGGTGTGAGAGGGGTGCCATAGGGGGTTGAATCCTCAGGGGGGGGATGCTTAGGGGTAAGGGTGGGCCAGTCTCTGTGGCTGCGCTGGTTGGCCTCATCTCTGATCTTGAAGGTGGTGCTACGGAGCGTGCCTCTCTCCAAGGCCCTGGGGCTCTCTGCGAATATCACGCAGGTGGGGCTGCTGTTCTGACTCCAGTCCCTATCCTGCTCCCCTCGGGAGGTGGTGTGCCACCCTGGGGCGCGTTTAGGGTCTGTGTTGGATGCGGGGGTGCCGGTCTTGGAGGCCGGCCTGCCATTCTCCTTGGTCAGTTTGAGTTCGGAGGGTTTGGTCCTGGTGCTGCGGCTGCGGCTGCAGCCGGAGCTTAGTTTGGGAGGGCGGCGGGTGGGCAGAGCGGTGGTGATGGTCTCCACGAAATGCACGGCCGGGTGGAATTTGGAGTCTGTGTCAGCGGTGGAGGTAGCGGAGGAGGCTGAGGAAGGGGTTGAAGAGGTGTCTTGGGTGGGTGTAGGGGCAGATGCAGGGGCAGAGGGTAGGAATAGAAGGGAGGCGGCAGGCGGGACCCCTAGGGGTGACTGGACGCTCTGCTTCATCAGACGGTCCTGCTGTAGAGACAGCTGCATCATCTGTTGCTGAATGGCGCCGATGGCTTCATTCAGCAACTCTATGGAGCGGCTACACTCGCTCAGGTCTGGCTCGGCCCCCGCCTCGTCCAGTGGCCCTGCACCACCACGGTTTGTTTTGTTGTCCCTGTCCCTCTGCTGCTGTCCATCCTTCCCCTGACCCCTCAGGACATCCAAACACGAGTCGTCCCTGCAGTCCTTGCTGGCCGTCTTATATTGGGTCTCCAGGTGTTTGAGGGGCTGGGGCAGCGTGTCGCTCTTGCCACCCCCCTTCTTGACAATGTTGAGGAAGGCAGCCTTGCCCAGCTTGAGGCGCTGGCGCGCCGATATGGTCTCCATCTTCTTCTTCTGGTGCTCTATGGCGCGCCGCTGCTCCTCCAGCTGCATGTGGAGCTGCACCAGCTCTGAGGCCAGGACATTGGTGGTGCCGCCCTCCTTCCCCACCCGCAAAGCGGCGTCTTTAGCCAGCCGACATGGGCTAGGAGCCTGCAGGCACCACAAGCCTCCTAGGGTGTAGGGGGCGCTCTCTGAGCCGTCGGGCGTGGTCTTCTGGGAGCTGCTGTTATTGGAGCAGCTGTCGGGAAAGCTGCTGACCTTTCGGTGGAGCTTGCGCTCTGCAAAGCTGGTCATCCGCACGCTGCCGCTGCTGCACACGCAGCTGGCCCAGGACGCCGTGCTAAGGCAAGGGCTGGACGGGCCGCTCCATGCCTCCAGGTCTTCCTTATCCTCGTGCTCGCACACCTTCATGTCCTCCCGGAGCTTGGCCGACTCGCCCTCACCCCCCTTCGGTTCCCCTTTGCCCTCCCCTCCCTCTCCCAGGCACTTCCCCCTGACCCTCCTCAGCACTTCCTTGGCAAGCTCCATCTGATCCTCCTCCTCCTCCTCCTCCAGGTTGGCAATCTCAGAGTATGTGTCCCGGCCAACCCAAGCTGTAGTAATGCCGGTGGGGAAGGGGCTGTGGCGCGGTGCCAGCCCCAAGAGGTGCGTCGTCTGGTCCCCGGGCTCCGGTGACAGGTGGAGGAAAAAGCCACAGGACTGCTCCCTGGTGGCGGGCTCTGCTGCCCCCATCAGAGCGGGCTGAGAAGAACCCGTACTCCCCTTCGTGGGTGGTGTAAGGGGACCTGAGGTGGGCTCCGCATTGGGGATGGGGGTGAACGTGCAGTTAAGACCCTCAGTGGTTCTCTTAAGGCCCGCTTTGCTTCTACTCTCCCCGCTTTCCTCCTCCTTGTTCAGGCTGACGCTCTTCTCTTTGGCGGGCTTAAAAATGGCTGGCATCAGGGGCTCCAGGTAGAAACTCTCAGCCTGGGGGTCGGGGTGAGGGACAGCGAGGCAGGAGGCGTGCAGAGCGCTGGACACTCTGGAGGTCACCACACTCTGGACCTCCAGGTCGTCCTGCTCCATGTCATCACTCTCGGGGGTGGCACGGGGGCCGTAGCACCTGGCCAGACCCGCCGGGTTGAAGATGGTCACCAGCCCTTCCTCCTCCTCCTCCTTGAAGCGGATGTGTCCCATCATGTCCTGGCCGTTGAGCCTGCGGGGAACCAGTTGGACACCCACCCCCATCCCCCCAATCATGTGTTTGGGGGTGATGCTGATGATGTTGGATCCCAGTCTGTCCTTGCTGATGGAGCGGGCCAGGCTCAGGCGATTGCCCTCTCCCTCCAGGGGGAAGTGGAGGGCGTAGGGCACCGGCTGGGACAGGGGTCTGGGTGGGGAGGGGAGAGAGTGGGAGATGAGAAGGATCAAGGCAAGACCATGATGTTGCCACACATCACTATCTAACAGAGGTGAACTTGAATATGCAATTGGAAAGGGTTCTGAGAAGTATGAATGGACACTGTTGTCGTTCACCTACCCTAGTTGAATGCACATACTGGAAATCTCTCTTTTCTTTTCTCTCGCTTCAGTATACATGACTGAAATGTTAAATTAACCACTCACCTCGGTCTCGTCTCTGGCCAGGCCAGGATTGACCCCTGAACTTGACCGTCCACACGTGACAGAGAGTTGGACCTGTTTCTCTGCCCTAAACACAGACACAAAATATTAAACATAAGCCTTATTTATGTATCAGCCTTTGTGACATTAGCCTTCAAACTAGATTAAATCAAAATGTGATGAGCATTACTCATTAGTGAAAATGAACTTGACTAATTTACAGCACGACTATAAGTCTGATATTGTCCTTCTCATGTTGGTTAACTCAAGGATCCTCAAGTCTCCACTGAACTAGGTCAATCCGCTTTTATTTTAAAAGAACCTCATTGCTGAAACCAAATACAAAATCAATTACAATTGGATGTTTTGGTGCCACTCTGGCAATTAAAAATATTGATTGGGGACCTTCTTACTGAGGAATGTCATTGTTTTTCTTGAATATTTGTGTTGTGCTGTATTTTACTTTTTTTATATTGTTTTTGATTTTGTCTTATGAAATTGAATATGCAGGGCTCCCTTGTGAAAGAGACCCTGGTCTCAATGGTGTCTCCCTGCTTAAATAAAGGTAAAATAAATGCCAGATTCACACTATCGAGCCAAACCAAGCCAAGCCAAGCTGTGCTGGGCTTGCCTAGTTACGCATAAAAAGGACAATGTGAAAATAAAATATCCAAGCTAGCACAGTACAGTTCAAGTTGATCTTACCTGAGGCGTCATCCTCCTGTATGGACATCTGTTGCCTCTGTCTCAGAGGGAGCAATGAGTGTGAGGGGCTAGACGCAGGACTGACTTTGGTACTGCAAAGGAAACAAATCGCCATTATAGTTTCCCAAACACGCACACACCAGGGTTTCCGTCAGGGAAATTTGGCGCGGGACAATTGACCGGGAAGATTTTAATTTAATCGGACATTTGAGAAATGTACCGGTCATCCATATGCATTGGGTGTGTAACCCATTAGGCCACCCACCCACGCAGCCAGCACCATCAATAAACGAGGGATATTGGCAAAATGAGCCACATTTACATGTCCTTAAAAACATGTGTTTCGATGTGTAGCATATGCAAAACCTTATAGCCTGTTGTTTTATTGGTTTTTACTTTACTAAAGCAATAGTTGTCCACATCACGGTTCAGCTGTCAGAGATTTAAGCACTAAATGCGTCAGGGCATTGCATGCATAGGCCTATTGGCTTAGGCGTCCACTGTATTATATTAATATTTTAACAAATAAATATAAAGGATGAGAAGCTTAGGCCTAGCCCCAGAGAGAGAGAGAGAGATCGAGATATGCCGGTGGCATTCTACGACACCGACATTAATTTCTTTATACTTGTCAGCTACTCGCGTCTGCTATACAGATATAGGCATACAGAAGGAGGCGAATTTGTGAATTTTCCATTAGAATATTGTTTATAAAGATAAGCATTATATTGTTCGATTATAGAAGTAACTCTGGTAGGCCTAAAACATTCTTCCTCACCTTAAGTTAAACTGTCGGTCAGTTGGAGCGCCGGTGCGCAGTGCCTTCATTTCATAGGCCTGCAGTATAATAGGCTAATAGCCACACCAAACCTTCACAAAAGCTTCTAAACTTTATTAGGGTAACATAAAAAGTAAGTCAAGCCATTGTTTATCGGGAAAATACGAGCAGGATATTATACTGCGGCAAACACAACATTACAGTTGGAACTTAATTTGGCTGAAGAAAACAGAATGAAACACAAACGTTTTGAACAGGCTATATTGCAGCGATTACCAAGGGTTCTAAGCTGACACATGGAATTGTTTGAAAAAGATGGTCATACTATGGATCATTTAGCTATTTGATTTTTAATTGTTGGATCCTTTAGGTATAAAAAATATATATACAAAAATGATTTGATAAAATATTGAATATGGCCTTTACTACTACAGCCCAGAGAAACACATTGAATAAATGGCAAAAAAGACAGTCAAAAAATTAATCATAAGAAACAAGGTTTTGAAGTGTTTGTCCTGTATCCAGGAGATACAGTATAGGGAAAAAAAGTATTTGATCCCTTGCTGATTTTGTACGTTTGCCCACTGACAAAGACATGATCAGTCTATAATTTTAATGGTGGGTTTATTTGAACAGTGAGAGACAGAATAACAACAAAAAAATCCAGAAAAACGCATGTCAAAAATGTTATAAATTGATTTGCATTTTAATGACGGAAATAAGTATTTGACCCCCTCTCAATCAGAAAGATATCTGGCTCCCAGGTGTCTTTTATACAGGTAACGAGCTGAGATTAGGAGCACACTCTTAAAGGGAATGTGCTCCTAATTACCGGCTAACGGAAACCCTGACACACACAAGCACGCCCGCACACACACAGGTACACATACATGTGCATACATGCAACGTGTACACACATGCAACGCGCGCACACACAGGTGAGCAAAGGCTCATTCCAATCCTAGCAGAAAACTAAGATAACAGACAGACAGAAACAGACTGACAGAAAAGTGGACAGAGTTTCAGGTAGTACCTGTTACAGATATCTGGGCTTTGGGACGTTGTTATGACGTCAGGAGAGCCGGGTGTGGCCAGGAAGCTGCGTTTGGTAGCGTTGGAGATGGCGACATGGGGGTGGGAATTCTTGGGCTGCAGCAGTGACCTCACTATGAGATTGGTGGCAAAGAGTGTCAATCAAAACTCTGAGGAACCTTATAGGTTAGTGTTCTTATGAGACTAATTCAAAAACATCTGATGAAACCATTGGCTCTGGATGAATGAAAGACAATATCACATATTATACAAAAGTGTAAAATAATACATTATTGAAATAACATAAGAAGAAAAATACAACGTCTGTACCGTCTTTGACTTCTTGCAAGTCCCGGGGCTGGACAAATTCGGGCTTGAGGATCTCAAACCACCAGAATAACTCTGCGATGAACACCATGACATTGTGCTGGGGAAAGATGTCATGAAACAAGAGTCAACACCACAACACCGGAGAGTGTTTAAATACAGGTAACTGCCAAAATAATGGAAACACTTAAGTAAATGAGTGATACATAGCATATTGAGACAGCGCATTCCACGACCATCAACAAAACACAAAATTATGGAATTTCTCGTGGAAGAATGGTGTCGCATCCCTCCAATAGAGTTCTAAACACTTATAGAATCTATGCCAAGGTGCATTTACGCTGTTCTGGCTCAAATCCCTATTAAACCTCTACTGGATCAGTGTCTCGAAATCGGCAGTTGCTGTTCAATATGCGATATTTGACTAGAATGGCGTTGTAAACAAAAGCCAACTTTCCGGGACATAGACATGTCTTATATGGTCAGTAAGCTTAAATGATTGTTAATCTAACTGCAGTGTCTAATTTACAGTAGCTATTACAGCAAAAAAATACCATGCTATTGTTTGAGGATAGTGCACAACAACAAAACACTTATCAAGGCAACTGGTTTGATACATTCACCTCTGATGGTATATAATGTACTGACATTCAGTAATCTTGCTCACATTTGTTATCCTGAGGGTCCCAGAGATAAAATGTAGCGTAGTTATGTTTGATAAAATCCATTTTTATATCCTAACACAATCCATGTCGTATACATGAATTCCGACTCTTTCAACTTCCAACAAAACAATCTATGAAGTCTAAACGACTAAACCTTGTTTCACCCGGTCAAGTTCGGTTTCTTTGCAATCCTCAGACACTCTAGAAGGCAACCAAACTTTGTTTACATTACGTATATACATTACGTATTGGCTACACAACACATATATTATCCCACGAAGGACAGACATCATTACGCTTGATTGACAGTCTTTTGGTCCAATGACCACCTATCGTTTTGAAACATAGCTAGCTAGATAGCCAATGAGCTGGGCTTTACATTAGTATGTTATGGCCCTTTGTAGGAGTAACAGCAATTGTCCTATGGCTGCGCACAACGCGATTCATTCTCCATTGACAATCCACAGGACACAAAGGAGTTTAAGTTACGCAACACTCGCTTTCTTCTACAAAGTTTCTCAAAACTTAAAAAGTACAACATGGCTACTAAGAGTATAAACGCTAAATCGAACTTCAAGAATACACATTTGGATGAGATTATTGCAGAAACTGACCGGGAGAGTGACACGAGGAGTCCTGCGCGCAAGAAAGATTGGACGGAGAAGGTAACGTTACTTTTTTATATCAGTAAGTAAAATACGTTTTTGCTTCTCATGCTAATACAGTTGTTTAAATGGTTGCAAATGCGTTTAAGATATTTGTCTTTCATTTCTATATACACTACCGTTCAAATGTTTGGGGTCACTTAGAAATGTCCTTGTTTTCGAAAGAAAAGCAATTTTTTTGTCCATTAAAATAACATCAAATTGATCCAAAATACAGTGTAGACATTGTTAATGTTGTAAATGGCTATTGTAGCTGGAAAGGGCAGATCTTTTATGGAATATCTACATAGGCGTACAGAGGCCCATTATCAGCAACCATCAGTCCTGTGTTCCAATACCGCGTTGTGTTTGCTAATCCAAGTTTATCATTTTAAAAGGCTAATTGATCATTAGAAAACCCTTTTGCAATTATGTTAGCACAGCTGAAAACTGTTGTGCTGATTAAAGAAGCAATAAACTGGACTTCTTGAGAATCTGGAGCATCAGCAATTGTGGGTTCGATTACAGGCTCAAAATGGCCAGAAACAAATAACTTTCTTCTGAAACTCGTCAGTCTATTCTTGTTCTGAGAAATGAAGGCTATTCCATGCGAGAAATTGCCAAGAAACTGAAGATCTCGTACAACGCTGTGTACTATGTATTACATATCTTGCATTACCCATCTCATATGTATATACTGTATTCTATACTATCTATTGCATCTTAGCCTATGCCGCTCTGACAATGACATTGCTCATCCATATATTTATATATTCTTATTCCATTCTTTTACCTAGATTTGTGTGTATTAGGTATTTGTTGTGGAACTGTTAGATATTACTTGCTAGATTTTGCTGCACAAGCGTTTCTCTACACTCGCAATAACATCTGCTAACCATGTGTATGTGACCAATACATTTGATTTGATTCGCATATTTCATTATAGTGATTGTGTTCCAGATACTCTATATAGTATATATATGTTTATAGATATGTGTTGCGTATTTGATGTATTGACGCAGTGCTCACCCCCTGCTAAAATACATTTTTAATCAAATAAGTAATAGTAAACTTGAGTTCTAACGGATTTTTATTTTTATCCTCAATAGCGGTAGAAAGTAAGATGACCTATTGGAGCCAACTTTAAAGACACCACATTCAAGTCCTTCATCCCCCACTCTTTCAAATGTAGGAACTGGCTTTTCCAGTCTGACCCCTCTGCTGTCTCTGGCTCCACACCCACCCCCGCCCGGCCATCTAGAGGTGTGAAGGTTAGTACATTTTATGTAGGGTGGCTAATGATCCATCATGTATGACATTCCTGGGAGTGTGTAAACTTTAATTTTTTATTACCATAGGATTTTTGTATGTTCTCTATAGTTATGTACGTGGAAATGTATCAATTGACCAATTCGGCCACTTGGGTACATTTGGGAAAACTCGTGAGGGACACCTGGGAGACTCTCATTCTTGAATGTATCAGTCTGAAACTTTGCACACATTGCTGCCCTCTTCTGGACAACATCTATATTACACCCATCTTCCTAGATCAATTATGGCCTTTCTTTTGCATTTCAAAGATGCAAAAATAATAATAGAAAACGCATGTTCTTTTACCAGTTCTAATGTGTTATATTCTCCTACATTAATTTTACATTTCCACAAACTTCAAAGTGTTTCCTTTCAAATATAATTTTACATATTCAATCTCTCCCTATCCCAGTCTGCTGTCCCCACATGCTTCAAGATGACAACCATTGTTCCTGTACCCAAGAATGCAAAGATAACTGCACTAAATGTCTATCACCCCGTAGCACTCACTTCTGTCATCATGAAGTGCTTTGAGAGACTAGTCAAGGATCATATCACCTCCACCTTACCGGTCACCCTAGACCCACTTCAATTTGCATACTGCCCCAATAGGTCCACAGACGATGCAATCGCCTGCACACTGCCCTATCCCATCTGGACAAGAGGAATATCTATGTAAGAATGCTGTTCATTGACTATAGCTCAGCATTCAACACCATAGTACTCTCCAAGCTCATCATCAAGCTTGAGGGCCTAGGTCTCAACCCCGCCCTGTGCAATTGGGTCCTGGACTTCCTGACGGGCCGCCCCCAGTTGGTGAAGGTAGGAAACAACATCTCCACTTCGTTGATCCACAACACTGGGGCCCCAACAAGGGTGTGTGCTCAGCCCCCTCCTGTACTCCCTGTTCACCCATGACTGCGTAGCCATGCACACCTCCAACTCAATCATCAAGTTTGCAGACAACACAAAAGTAGTAGGCTTGATTACCAACAACGATGAGACAGCCTACAGGGAGGAGGTGAGAGCTCGGAGTGTGGTGTCAGGAATATAACCTCTCACTCAACGTAAAAAAAACAAAGGAGATGATCGTGGACTTCAGGAAACAGCAGAGGGAGTACCCCCCTATCCACATCGACGGGACAGCAGTGGAGAAGGTGGAAAGTTTTAAGTTCCTCTGCGTACATATCACTGACAAACTGAAATGGTCCACCCACACAGACAGTGTGGTGAAGAAGGCGCAACAGCGTCTCTGCAACCAGAGGAAAAAAATATATAGACCACCTTTACTCCACACACAGAGATGCATACAAAGCTCTCCCTCGCCCTCCATTTGGCAAATCTGACCATAACTATATCCTCCTGATTCCTGCTTATGAGCAAAAACTAAATGTGAGTAAGACTTTTAAGCAGGTCAACATTCACAAGGCCGCAGGGCCAGACGGATTACCAGGACGTGTACTCCGAGCATGTGCTGACCAACTGGCAAGTGTCTTCACTGACATTTTCAACATGTCCCTGACTGAGTCTGTAATACCAACATGTTTCAAGCAGACCACCATAGTCCCCGTGACCAAGGACACTAAGATAACCTGCCTAAATGACTACCGACCCGTAGCAATGACGTCTGTAGCCATGAAGTGCTTTGAAAGGCTGGTCATGGCTCACATCAACACCATTATCCCAGAAAGCCTAGACCCACTCCAATTTGCATACCGCCCCAACAGATCCACAGATGATGCAATCTCTATTGCACTCCACACTGCCCTTTCCCATCTGGACAATAGGAACACCTACGTGAGAATGCTATTCATTGACTAAAGCTCAGCATTCAACACCATAGTGCCCTCAAAGCTCATCACTAAGCTAAGGATCCTGGGACTAAACACCTCCCTCTGCAACTGGATCCTGGACTTCCTGACGGGCCGCCCCCAGGTGGTAAGGGTAGGTAACAACACATCTGCCACACTTATCCTCAACACAGGGGCCCCTCAGGGGTGCGTGCTCAGTCCCCTCCTGTACTCCCTGTTCACCCATGACTGCATGGCCAGGCACGACTCCAACTCCAAGTCATAGACTGTTCTCTCTGCTACCGCATGGCAAGCGGTACTGGAGTGCCAAGTCTAGGTCCAAAATACTTCTCAACAGCTTCGACCCCCAAGCCATAAGACTCCTGAACAACATCATGGCTACCCAGACTATTTGCACTGCCCCCAACCACATCTTTTTACGCTGCTGCTACTCTGTTAATTATTTATGCATAGTCACTTTAACTCTACCCACATGTACATATTACTTCAACTACCTCAACTAGCCGGTGCCCCCGCACATTGACTCTGCACCGGTACCCCCCTGTATATATATATATATTTTACTTTTTTTATTAAAAATAAATGCACTGTTTGGCTAAGGGCTGTAAGTAAGCATTTCACTGTAATGTCTGCACCTGTTGTATTCGGCCCATGTGCCAA